GTCTTCCCCAAGGTGCCAAATCAGTACTATTCATAATCATATGAAGATTCTGCGTGTTTGTGGAAAAGGAAATTAACCTAAAGCAACTATCATCAGTGTTTGTCATTAAGTCCAAGGTGAAGGAGGTTAATTATTCATAAAAAAAAGTCCAAGGAGGTTAATTGAATAGTGTTCTGTTCGTTGAATAATTAACATAAAATCCACTGGTTAAGACTTAAGAGAAGCTTGATTACCAAATCACTAGTCTATTTGCTTAAGCAAAGTTTAATCACATGTTTTGCAGAGACAAACCGCACCCCACAAATTATAATATAGTTTAGTGGGATAAATGAAAAAAAACAAGAGATATAATAGGAGGGAGAAAATCTCCAAAATCAAGATGTAGAATCTCTCTAATTATGAGATATTTGATATCTCTAGATTTTAGAGATTTAAAATCTCTTAAGTTACAATCCACGATACAAAAAGTAGCAAAAAAAAACATCACATTTTGCTAAATCTATGGATTCAATAAATCCACGATCCAAATCTTGTTCTCCAAACGATCCCTAAGGGACTGCGTCACGTTTGATACGGTTTTGCACTTATTAATTAAATCCTTAAATTTCTAGGCTAAATTAATTAAAAAAAATTGGATCTCGCAATCTGTACTTTGGGAATATAGAAATTCAGAAAGTTTTTTTTTGGTGGTTCAGAAAGTTGGCTGGTAGATTTATTGGTGGTTCAGTACTCAAAACAAAAGGTCGGCCGTCGGCGTCATAAAAAAAATTGTTAATTTATTTTTATTTGCTCCCAAAAATTCAATCTGAAGGTGTATACCCGATTAATTAGGCTTTATGCCACAATTTGATCCGTAGCTCGCTCGCTCGGACGAGAGAAGTGGTTTGTAATCAAAAAGAATTTATGAATATAATGTTGGATAATTGATATATTGGTTTGACGTCGTTTATTGAGTTTTGGGTTAAGAGTTAAAGAATATATGGGTTATGAACTTATGATAGTACATTTCATAAAAGGTGAGGGGTTGATGAGTTACACCCTCGTAGTGTATTTTTTTTTTCCCTAGACCTTTGTTGTAATGTCAGATATGAACTTATTAATAAAGGGCTTTGTCTCTTTTTTCCGGATTTATTTTTATTTGTTGATACAATTATAGTTAGAAATTAAACACTTTGCATAATAATTAGAAGAAGCCACTCGTATATATCTTAATAATCAGTTATGAAGAAGAAGGGTCGTTTGTATTTAGTCGATTGTCGGATTTGGATTTAGATTCGGATTCCGTCTCAGAAACCGGTTCCAAAGAAGGTTGAGATTACTAAAACCAAACCGAGAAGATTTGTCATTTCGATAGCGGTTACTTTGTCGATTAACCACATCTGCATGCAACATTTTTAGTTTGTTATTTTTAGTTTTTTTACGGGGTCTTTCTTTATATTAAAATATAATTATACAAGTAATTCAAAAAAAACTTAACTATTCTTTTACATTATTAACATAAAAAATTATAATTATTAGAAATAACATCAATACAATACAACATTTATCATGAATTCATAATGCAAACCAAATTCCAATCCGTAAAATCAAAAGTAGTCAAACGTATCCATCCAATTGGCGAGTACCAATTAGTAAGATATCAAACACAAGCACAATAAGATCATCATCATTCACGACACAATAAAGAAATAAGGCTTTGAAGTTCGTTTTCTCGACCTCAAAGGGAATGGAGAAGAGTGACTTTGAGTTCTGACTCTTTGACACATTTGAGGCTTTGGTGCCAACACTCAATCCGTAATATGTTTTTCGGTATCCATATATCACAAATAATATATTAATTTCCTTCGAAATTCTCAATCAAATATATGAAAAAAAATATTTATCCTCTGGTAACAGCTCCACAAACCATTCTGAAAATATATATAAAAGTAAATAATGATGTCAACACTCATGCAAAACAAATGAAAAAACTCAAAAGTTTAATAACAACAAACTAGGGAATGTGATGCCTAAGAACTAAGAAGCACATTAACAAACTAAAGCAACAAATTTGAAATAGGGGATGACTAAGTAGCCTATAAACATATACAAGTAGGGACATGAACTTGTCTGGATTGTCTGATAGTGAGAGAATCAACTGTGTATAATTATGAGTTTATTTTTGGCAGTTGATGATCTGGTAGCTGTGAATGAGAGAGCCTAGTTGGGAGGGACAAAATACTCACTAGCTTATATTTTCATATATTTTGATATTTTGTTATGTACTGATTTAAATCTCATATGCCAAATAACACTTGAAAATTGAAATTCAATTTTAATCCTATAAAATAATACCAAATATCAACCAATTTCGTATTTGATATTATCTAAGTACTAAGTACCAAACTTCCAACACTAATATGGTCCATCAATTCCGCAAAACACAAAGGAATACTAATTGGGTTTTGAGACCCATTCTCAAAAGCTCTGTCACAGTGGCCCAACCTAAAGTTTGATGGGCCTACTCTAAATCATCGGCCCACTCAACCTTCGATAAATGGTTATTAGTTAAATACAGACACCCCGGGAGAAAATTCCTAACTTCGCAAAATCGCAACACTGTCCCTTTTCTCCCAAAAGACTCGAAATCCTCCGGTTCCTCTCTGTCGATCGACCAACCCTAATAGCCTTTCACTCGACGGAGATGGATTCAGACGTAGCCATGATCCCGGCCGGCGAGGGAGGCTCCAGCGCAGCAGCCGGACCTTCTTCTTCTAGCAAGAAGCCGAAGCGCTTCGAGATCAAGAAGTGGAATGCCGTCGCTCTCTGGGCTTGGGGTTCGTTCGACGAAACCCTAAATCTCTACAGCATCGTCGCGCTATCTATCTAAACCTCGTGTTAGTGGATGGATAATCTGATGCTCATTGCGCCTAATTTTGTTTTCTTCTCGCTGTACAGATATCGTGGTGGATAACTGCGCGATTTGCAGGAACCATATCATGGATCTCTGTGAGTTTTCTTCGTCGCTATGGGTTTTGCAATAACTTTGTTCGTTTTTCGTAATGGGGATTTGCTTTTGTCTTGGTTAGGCATCGAGTGCCAAGCTAATCAGGCCAGCGCAACCAGTGAGGAGTGTACTGTCGCTTGGGGTAGGCATTCCTTATCTACTTAATCGCCCGAAGATGTGGTACTTATTCGTATTTGAGGGCCGAATTGGTTTGTAAGGGTCGAATTGTATACTACATAGCTTCATTAACTTGGGAAGACCCTCGTTTTTGGTTAATTGTCAGAGTTTAGCTGGTTGCCCTCTGAGAATGTATAGCGGCATTGAACTATAAAGAATGGTGCGTGTAACTGTAAATGATGGTTAGGCTTGTGAATACTTCGTATATTGGCTGGCGGGCCATTCTTAGTTATTTAATCTCTCGCTGCATCTAGCAGTTCTGAATGTTTCTGTTAGGAAAGGTGGAGAATGTTACATGTAGGGTTGGTAGATAGATTTAGTGGATTATAATTTTTTTGGAGAATGATCTCAATTGTTGTGTGTCTCTGGATGTTTTATGTCTAGTTTTGGATATGTTGGATCATGAACTTATGGCCACCTTCATATTGAGAGGTAAAAGCGATCTGTTTTTGCTTGGTTGGAAAGTATGAGTTAGATGTGTAGAAAAACTCACTATTGAGGTCTTCACTGCTGCTGTGATGATATGATGGGGATCATATTATTCCTCAAGATTTTTGTATGGTAAGGTATAGATTTTTGTATGTTAGTTGATACTTCACATGTTTGTTTTGCCTGTTTGGCTGTTGTTCTGTATTGAATAAGCTACATCTCACTGTTATGCATGGAAAAGCTTCTGATTCCGGCTGATAGAGTGCTCATTTGTGTGCTGCCCCTTACACTGGTGTGGCAACATGCAAATTGTTCCCTATCAATTTAGCATTTTCTCATACCTTGTAGAGGAATGTTTTGATCAATGAGTTCGCTTCTAATTTCCCGATTTGTCCATTCATCTAATTCTGCACCAAAATATATTCATCTACTTCTGTACCAATTATATATCAGCTCAACTTAGTTTCACTCTTTGATTGGTCAAACCAATACTGACTCCCCTCTCTCGCTCAGGTGTCTGTAACCATGCTTTCCACTTCCACTGCATCAGCCGCTGGTTGAAAACCCGCCAAGTCTGCCCTCTTGGTACGTTAAAAACTCTTTACATTGTCCAAACTCTGTTATCTCATTTGAGGTGTTAAAATCCCACATCTTACATCGGCTTTATCCATTCTACAGATAACAGTGAATGGGAATTCCAGAAGTATGGGCACTAGTGGACTCAATAACTTGAACATTGGAGCCAGGGGGCGCCGAATTTCATAATGTCTCACGAGCCATTCCAAGGAGTTTGTAAATGGGCATTTGCAGTAAGGAAACACTAAACAAACACTTGTTCCATTGGTTTTAGTTAAGCTGGTCGCTATTATAGCTGTATTTTGGGTGGATGGCATTTTAGGTCGAGTGTTACTCTTCTATCCTGTTGAGCAAGTGATTAATTGAGATGTTGGTACATGCTCTTATTCCCTGTTTCGCCGTCTGTATCAGAACCCTTCCGTTCTGTTATTTTGTCTCTATATCTGAATGGGTAGGCGGATTTCATGTTTCAATTTTGCCGGTGATACTGGTCGAAATTTTGTAGTCAACAAATTAGCAGGTTTGCAAGTAAAATATGAACCAGCTGACTCCATTGTTGCAAGTATGGAGTATGGTTCAACACTACGCGCTTAATCTTATTCTTAGGTATTATGTGGCGTCAAAATGCCTCACCTAGGGTTTTGCAACAAATTAGGTACACATAACCTGTGGGTAAATGCCACGTCTGGTCACTAGGTAAATTTACCTCATTTACAAATACAATTTTCTATTTATTATTTCCTGCTCGACAAAAGAAAATATCTTTATTAATACCTCATTTACAAATACAATTTTCTATTTATTATTTCCTGCTCGACAAAAGAAAATATCTTAATATTTTTAATAGTTGAAGAATTTTGCGAGATATGTAACACTCATGCCGAAAGCCTTATTGTTTTTAGGTTGCAACAATAGTAGCCACATATGCCCTAATTAAGTCCACAGGTAGAGTGTTTACAGCAGCTGATAGACTGTTTCCCATTGTAATCTCAAGTCTCAACTAATCAATTCAGCATCATATGAACCACAACATGGAGTTTTATATGGTACATATGTACATTCGAATTCGATGCTCCACCATCAATGGAGAAGTAATGTAAACTTAGGACAGGCAAATGCAGGTGTCCTGTCGATAATAAACCATAGTACTAGGCCTCTGAGTGATAATTAAATAGACTCCACAGAACCTCCCTGCCTCCATTGCACAGCAATCGGGCTCCTAACCTTGTGCACTCCATCGCTCCACTCAACGAACCCGAAGCTCTGCGTCGCAGCGTTCGAGAAACCTACGACCGAGCTCGAGAACGTAATCTCGTACGCCAGAGACGGGCTCTCCTTGCTGAACACGAGCGTGCTGGGCGAGACCTTGACATCAACATTCGTCGGAGCATTCACTTTGAGCTCGTAGACCGCATCGACCGAGCTCCCAACATTCTTCACCACCCTCTTGTATGTAACCACGTCAAATTTGGGCTTGAACACGACGGAGAACGACGGGTAGTTCAGATCCCCTGGACCGGCTGCCAGCGCCGCCGCGTGCTCGCAGGCGTCCGATGCAATGGGCTCGCCGAAGATCACCGCGATCCTCGAGGCGCTGTACCCGATCGAGCAGAGGAACGAGACGTAGTCGGTCGTGTTGAGGTCGTAAATGAGACCGGGGCTCACAGCGCCATTTGGAACCACATGACCTGCTCCGTAGACAAATGGAGTCGTCCCTTTGCCGCTGGCGAGATCTTTGATGTTCTCGCCGGCATTGTCTACTGTCGTCGCCGTTGTTATCATAGCCGATTTTATTGCTGCCGGAGACCAATCGGGATGTGCTCCCTTGAGCAATGCGGCTAGGCCGCTAACATGTGGGCAGGACATTGAAGTACCTAGCAATTTGATAAAAAATGAAACAGTAAGTAACAATCCAATTGCTCTTTTTTTTACTGAGGGTGTGAAAATCGTTAGATTGTTACCTGAAATGATGTTGAAAGTAACTCTTCTAGGATCAATCTCCAGATCCGATGGAGCAGCGGCGCCGGTCCAGCCAGCCAAAATGTTAACGCCGGGAGCAATCACATCCGGCTTGAGGATCTCCGGCGTGACCCGATTCGGGCCCCTGCTGGAAAACGACGCCACTTTGGGAGCCGGTGAGGTGCCTTCTCCGATTACAGTTCCCCTGAACTGAATCGTTGCTGTTGGAGACGCAGCCGATTGAATGTATTCGCGAATTTTATCCCCTTCCGTCGCTCCAACCATTGTCGCCGGAATGAGATGAGCGTCGGCGAGAAGCTCGTTCCCTTCCAGATCCGTGTTCGCCATGATCATCCCGATACCTCCGGCGAGCTTGACGGATGCCCCTTTCTCGACTCTCGCATTCCCGCCGCGATCGCACAGCACGATCTTCCCCTTCACCTTCACCGGGTCGAGGTAGCCGGAATAACAGTACCTGCTCCCGCAATCAGCGCTGTAAACAAGAGGCAAAAGTTCCCCCTCGGGCAGACCGGCCCCGCCGTAGAGCGAAACTCCAGCGTGCACGCTTCCATCTCCGAGGACGACATCGGCGGGGAAATCACGGTCAACGGTGGACGCTCCCACGGTCAAGATCCACGGAGCGATGTTCGTCGCCGTGTAAGCTCCTGGTCCGGAATTTCCAGCCGAGCAGGAAACCACAATCCCCTTCCTCGCCGCCGCGAAAGCTCCGATCGCTATCGAATCGCTGTCGTACGGAGGCGCGTAGCTAGCTCCCACGGAGAGGGAGATGACGTCGACCCCGTCGTCTACGGCCTGGTCGAAGGCGGCGAGGATATCGGAATCGAAGCACCCGGGTGACCAGCAGATCTTGTAGGCGGCGATCCACGCGCTCGGCGCCAACCCCCGCGCGTCGCCGGAGGCGTAGCCGAACAGGCTGGCGTTCGTTACCAGAGATCCGCCAGCTGTCGACGCCGTGTGAGTCCCGTGGCCTTCCGTATCTTTCGGAGATTTTGATTCCACGGTTTCGTCGATCGGCCTTCCCCTGTAGCTCTCGTATCCTTTGTAAAATGCTCTGGCTCCGATCAGCTGTTAAGAAACAAGGATTCTTTCAGTCAAATCCAATTGTAATTCGTCTTACTGTTGAATTTGATTTACGATTTACGACGAAACAACTGACTGACCTTCCGATTGCAAGCCGCGGCGGGGAAGTCCTTGCCGGACTCGCAGATCCCGCGCCACTTGGCAGGGATTTTGTCGGCGGCGGCGGCGGGGAAGGCGGCGTCGTCGAAGCTGGGGTGGAGGGGCCAGATCCCGGTGTCGAGGACGCCGATGATGACGCCGTCGCCGTTGGCGGAGTTGAGGGAGAGAGGGGAGGAGGGGGAGAGGCCGAGGAAGGAAGGGGTGTGGGTGGTGTGGAGGTGGCGGATCTGGTCGGGGACGACGGAGAGGATTCCAGGCGTGCGGAGGAGGCGGGAGGCTTGGTCGGCGGTGAGGGAGGCGGAGAAGCCGGCGGCGGCGTGGGAGTAGGTGTAGAGGAGGGCGGAAGGGTGGGGGAGGATGGAGGCGTACCAGTCGCGGTGGGAGGAGAAGAGGGCCGGCTTGTGGGATTTGGACACGTGGACGATGAAGGTTTGGGGGCGGGATTCGGGGGAGGAGGCGGCGGCGGATGAGGAGATTAGGAGGAAGAGGATGGAGAGGAAGATAGCGCCGGCCGCCATGGTTGTTGTTGTTGTCAGTGAGTGGGAAGATGGAGGAGTGATGGTTGCTGAGAAATTGGAGGAGAAGAAGTAGGGAACGGATTGGGGGAAGGGACTGAGTGAAGTCTCTGAATCTTGGAGCTTATTGGTCCACGTTATCCAACTAGATTAAAATAAAATATCTGTGTTTGGATACTTTTGCAAGAAACCAATAATTCTGGACAAGTTTTTTTTTTTTTTTTTTATACTTAGAATTCCTCTCATTATTAAAATGCCAAATTCACTTGCATAGTCAAAACTTTGACGGTTGTGACAAATATAGCCATTTTTGGAGAAATAGCAGAAATAGCCAGAAATTTGAAAGTTCGATGACAAATATAGCCATTTCCGTTACAAAGTTTGACGGCGTCAATGACACCGTTAGTCTATTTAACGGACAGATGATGTGCCTGCCACCTCACCGTGTCTTTCCTTCCCACCTCAGCATCCATTGACATGTAGGATGCCACGTCATTTTTAATGGGTAAAAAAAAACATAAATCAGGTGAATAGAATTGGAAATTTTATTCTTTCATTTCCACAATTCCATCCCATTTAGGGTTTCCCCGCAGCCGCTCTCCTCGACGAACCAAGCTCCGCCGATTGAAGCAGCCCCGCCGCACTCGTCGACGAACACAGCTTCGCCGCACTGCACTCGCACTCGAAGACCTCCCCCGCTCCGCCGCACTCGACGACGTCCCCCGCTCCGCCACCTCCCTTTCCTTTCGCGCGGACCCAGCCTCTCCTTTTCGGCGAAGGAAGACCCCCGCGACGACCCCCTCTCTTCGTTCCGCGGCGTCCTCGTCTTCACCTTTACTCGCCACCCACGACCGCCCGCCGCAGATCCGCGAAGACCCCTTCTCCTCATTCCGCGGCGTGCTCCTCTTCGTCCTTTCCTCGCCACCCACGACCGCCCGCCGCAGATCCCCGAAGACCCCTTCTCCTCGTTCCGCGGCGTCCTCCTCTTCGTCATGTCTCACCGGGGTGGGTCATCTTCCAGAAGCGAGAACAACATTGGGGTAGTCTGTTGCTACCACAATGTTCCTGTTGTGACTAATAGAGCCGGTCTGAGCCGGTACAATGGTCTGGATCCTTGAATCTCATGCGAGCGACAAACTCGAACTTCTTCTGCTCACACTGAGGATCATAGTGTGGTGCGTTGTCGAACACATCAGCACTAGCCTCATCAGATATATTACCTCGCACGTGGTTAGACTCCTCGGAAAGTCTGTAGCTCGAATGATTACTTGTCTCCTTACGTGCTTGCTCAGTTGGTGGCACTTGCTGAGTTTCAGAATCTTCAACCTCCTCTTCATTCACATCAAGGTTGTCAAACCCAGCTTCTTCAACCTCTTCCTCAAATTCCTCCTCATCAGATTCCACCTCTTCAAACTCGTCCAACTGCTCCACCTCCTCCCCATGACCATCAGCCCTCATTCTCACCTTTCTCTTCCTCATTTCTCCATATGCCCGAAAGTTGTTCCTTGCCTCATGGTACTCATCGTCGGAGGTGTCAGCATCATCGGAGTCGTAAACATGGATCATTGGTCGAGCCACAGAAGCAACAACTGTTCCTTCGTCTGCTGATAGGTAATCAGCAGAATTCACTTCCTCATTTGGGTCATTCTCTTCCATTGAACTCACCATCTGTTACAAGGAAAACACATTCAAATACTATTTTAATCACAATTACTATTATAATCACAATGTTAATGCGTTTTAAATCGGTAAAGAACAAAGGAATCATCACCAACAAACATTATTCTATCCTAGGGTTTTCCAAAACCAATGACGATTCTGCCCAGTAGCTTTCCAGTTGCTTACCTTCGAATTCAAGGGCAAACTAGCGAAGAGAAGAATTCCAGTGGTCTCGAGGAAACCCCTTTGTGTCGCTTTCTGTCTTAATACCAGGTACGAACTATAAAAAGAAGAAACAAACCAAAATTTACAACACTGCACTTCAAATCCATCTCATCTGAGCTCAGTGAAGCTGTCTCGACACTTACCAGTCGACTGAAAGAAAGAAGCCCAGAAATCGCCCTGCGTCGAAAATCAAGAATCTTCAAGATTAGGGTTTTTAACCGACAACTTCATCTTGGGAAATCTTCGCCTTCGATGGTCGATTCCCCCTCACCAACAGTGAATCGCGACGCCAGAACGTGGAGAGGATCTATGAAACCCCTCGAGGCATGGCCGATTCGATGGAAGGAGGCTCGGAAAGATTTTAGGGTTCGTGAATCGGAAAGGAGGAAAGGGGTTTTGCTTCTCGTGGTGGGTTCGTGGATCGGAAAGGCTCTCGTCGTCGTCGACGACTACCAACGCTGATCTGGAGAAGGGGGAGCGTCGTGCTTCGTCGTCGGAGAAGAGGGGGTTTCTCTGGATATCGACTCGAGGAAAGGGAAGGGAAAATGAAAACGATAGAAAGTGATTGAGGCGTAACAACGCATTTACCGTTTCGACTTTTTTTTTTATTCCACATGGAATTCACTTGTTCGACGATAAAAGCCACGTCGGATGGTCCGTTTGTCCAGTCAGCACGTTAACTAACACCGTCAAACAATTGGACGGAAGTGGCTATTTCTGCTATTTCTCCAAAAGTGGCTATATTTAGCAAAATCGTTAAAGTTTTGGTTATACAGGTGAATTTGGCCTTATTAAAACGACGATTTTTCATTGATTTCTTCATTAAATGGTAAGTGTTTCATCAAATTGCTGCGTTTGAGGAATTTTCTAATGTTGTCCATGTGGGTTGTGGACTTGTGGTAGAATTGTGAAATTAGGGGTCAAGATCATCAAGATGGGTCTAAATCTTAAAGATGCATTTCTCATAAAAAAAAATTGTGTGTAAATTGTGAAACCGTATCAACAAAGTATGTAGTTTTGTATAGAGGTGGCAATTTCAATCCAATCCACCAATCCAATCCATCAATCCATTAAAAATATCCACCTAATCCAATCCATTTAAATCCAATCCATTTGATCCAAATCCAATTGGATTGGTGGATTCATGGATTGGATCCATGGATCATTGGCAAATTACGGTTTAGTACCTATAATTTTTATTTTTTACATTTTGGTACCTAAAATTTAATTTTTTATATGAAAAATATCATTGGAAAATTACGTTTTGGTACCTAAAATTTTTCATTGTGACATTTTAGTACCTAAACTTTTTATATTTTACATATTGGTCCTTGGTTGAGGATGTCATTTGGATTCATGGATAATCCACCAATCCACTTGATCCAATCCATGAATCCACCAATCCATTAGATCCAAACCATTTGATCCATGGATCCACCAATCCAATCCACCAATCCACCAATCCAATCCATTTGCCACCTCTAGTTTTGTATTTTGTAATAAAATTGTGATTTAAATGTAATTCAATCGTTTTGGGCCATTGAAATTATCCGTTGATTTGGTATCTGGTATTCGATATTTCTAGTTCAATCGGTCGATACAGTTTCTTAAGCATTGATATATGTCATGGTATGATTCTAATTAACAACTTTCCAATCCTAATCACCGGAATTCTAGAACAAATATTTTATTTTCTTCCTATTATTGTGAAAACCCTCGAGTAAATAGTGTCCAATGGGAGGATAGATGGGTTAACTTACATCATGAAATCTCTATTTATCCATTTAAGAACATTTTATGACTGAAATATTCATCCACGTAGAATAGATATGAATTATATAAGTTTTATAAACTAAATTTACCTACTTGTATGAATGGAAAAGAGAGAAGGAAAAAAAATAAAAAACTCATCTACCTACCTCACATCACATGAACAATAGGCAAATTGGGTGGAGATAGAGGAAGAGGAAGAGGAAGACGATGGATAGGATAGTAATAGGGATATGTGTATGGGAGCCCATTCGTATATAATATTTTTGGTCAACTTGGTATAACAAAAACAACTGAAGATATTCCCATGTAGATGCTTTTGGTTTTAAGTTATGTGGTTCATGATCAGATTAATAAATTGTACGTCAAAACTATATTGTCAAAAGATAATCTGTCAACAACCACCACAAATTATGAAAGTCTTCAATGAAAATTGTGCTACTAGAAGCATGAGCATGGACTTGTTTCTCGCGTTATCAAAATCTTATGCCTTGCAATAAAGAGAATAGTTACCGTAAAAAAATGAAGAGAATAGTTATATAAGAAACTCATAATAGAGAGAAATATTTGCGTATATTAGTGTGCTATATATTGTTTCATACTTTCATAGTTATAACTAATAAAACCAATGGCTCAAGACGTTTATGAGTACTTGAACACAAGGTATTTCCAAGTATAATTTTCTACTGTAATAAAGAAATTGTTTATGTCTAACTGAGTGTAGAAGTGAGACGCGAGATAAGTGGAATGCGAGTGAGAGGCGAGACAATCCGCTCGTACACTTGTGATTTGTGGGGGAGTAGTAGGCTAAGAGATGCAAGTTGGGAGAGTCTTAGAGAGAGAATTTGCTTGTATTTCTAGAGCGATAAGGGAAAAAGAGATCCCCCTCCCCCACCGGGGTAAATGCTCTATTTATAGGCTATCCTCGGTGGGTGGGTATCCTAGGTGACAAGATGTTTGGACAAGACAGATAACTAGGGTATAATTAGGTCTACAAACGAGAAGTGACTGTTTGTCAGTGCTACGAACGTTGTCTTGGTCTTCTCCTTCCGCGGGTAAGTTTAGAGGCGCGGGTTTCGCTCGCGGATCGCGGTATAACAGAGGTGTGATTGAGTTCATGCGCGGTCGTGGTTGTTTGTATTGTTCCACGCTGGCCTTCATTCAGCGCCGCCTTCTTCTGGTGAGCTGGCGGGCGCACGGTTGCTGGCGCGCTAGGGCCCGAGCTATGCCCCAACAGAAACTATCAGCTTGACTGTCCAAGTTCAATGTACCTAAAATTTTGTGGTTAATATATATGTCATGCGCCCTTCATCATTTGTATTTTCGAATACCATATAAAAGACAAAAAAAAAAACACGAGGCTCTTTGTGGGTAATAGAATAAGCTAAACAACTATTTTGCCTTCTATAAAAATTAGTTTTTATTCGATTTGTTGGTCGGATAAATTCATTTTATTTTTCATTATTTTATGATATTAATTCAATTATATTCTCAAATGACTTGGGTGGATTTTCAATAGTTTATTAAGAAGTCAAAAGTAATCTTTGTACTACTTGTAACATCAATAATATTAGTTCATATGTATTTTTGTTGATCGGGTTATCCTAAGTTACTGTCTATATATATTTCATATGAAATAAAATTATGTCGTAATAACAAGTCGTGAGAGTGCAAAATGGTTTCATTATGACTCCAAATTGTACTATAAGTGATAATATTGCTCCAAATGACTTATAATATTGAATATACTAATGTTTCATCCATTCGTTTAGTCATTTATAATCATAATATGCAAAATTATGTCATAATTTGTTAACAAAAGTTATATATAAGATTAGAGAGCGAGGGAGGAGAGAGTATGAGAAACTCCGTTGGGCTGGCAATCCCTTTTCCTTAGTACGAATCGATGCCATCCTCTCCACCTACTCGGCTACTCCTCTCTCTCTCTTAAGTCTTCGCGCAGTGCTGCGCAACACAAAATCTGTAGGCCCTCTCTGTCTGTCTGCTAGTCTATATTGTACTTACCGAATACACCGAAGCACCTCGCCCCTCATATTTTTCGTTTCGTCTGACCGCTCTTCGTCAATGACCAATCTATACAATCCAATGTTCTTTTGCTAAAAAATGGTGTTCTTTTGCAATGCTTATTGTTATGTTAGCATAAATCGCTTATAAGTATTTCTTAATTTCAATATTATTAACTTGGTTGTATATTAAATCCAAACGGAACTAAGACAATTATGCATTAAAATAATAATTATAAATCAAAAGGGATTATCTTATGGCTAATATGGAAGCATTAAACTCATCATTCAAACTTTATGGTCAACAATCATCTAA